GGGCCTTTTAATGCGCAACAATGGCATCAACAAACTGCTACTTAATCAATATTTGGCCAGAGCTGCTGAAAACTTCCTTTTCAGATTTTAATTCCTAGTTGTAAAACAACCCCAGAGCAGCCAGTCAGATAAGGCATTAAACTGACTGCTTAATTGCCTTTTAGTGTCTTGTTAGTTCTCGATCTACATTCTTAATGGTTCTGTAATCTTTATTTACCCGCATAAAGAAGTTACCTGCGGTCTTACCCCACGGAACAGAACCTTCTCAGCCCCAGCCCTGGCCAACCTCTCACTCTCACATCGTTTGTGTGTTTGTTGGTGTTGCGAAGCTTTTTCTTTTCACTGGTTATTTACCTATGTACAACTGAGACATTTATCCTCCTCGCTAGGGAGGATTTTTAATCTTTTTTTTTTTGTCCTCAAAATATATGTATTCGTGGATGTTGGGACTGGGCTCAGCGGCAACGCTCCCATCCACCTGACGGATTCTGCACATCGCCCTCTCCTCCACCAGCGCACTTGCTGGTTCCGCCTGGCCGCCCGGCGGTTTTATGGCGCAGCCCTGGGGACTCTTAAATAACCCTCCAGTGATGATTACGCACTTGCAGGCCCGGCGTCCCCGCTCCGGTGCTATCAACAATCCAATCAAGCCGCCAAATAAACATACGATTTCCAAGCATTAATGGGAAAATCTGCATGTTTTCAATAAAGCTAGAAAGTAAACATACAGCAGTCAACCCGACAAAACAAACGAGCGAATAAGAAAAACCGACATCCGAACTCGGCTGCTTCCTTTTCCATCTTTCCAACGGGGAAAACCGCTACCGCTATAGGTTCTTGGCGGGAGGGACAGGGAGGGGGGCGGGGGAAGAACCAGCGTGGTGTTCTAATTTAATTCGAGTTCTGACATTTTTAATGCATTTTTTAACATGCAGTGTTGAGTGTTGCAAGGACTTCGGAAAATAGGACATTTTCTCTAAAGATTTCGACGACGCTGGGGTCAAATTCGTGATTCTGACAAATGGACTTGGAGAGGGCGCTGTCCGCTTCAAGAATGGCTCCGACGCCACAAACCTGAGCTCCTACACCTAATGATTCTAATCTGTGGGAAAGGTCGTCCACCATCCCCTAGCCTGGCGCCAAATTGCCCTTCGCTGCTTACTGGGGGAGGGGGTTGGGGGGGGGGTAGAGCGGAGAATAACCGCTTTCCCTTGATTTTAGTGGTGCTGCCGTCCAACATAAAGTGGTCTTTTCATGATTCCGCTGGAAACGGAACGCTTCGAGGACCGTTAGAACTTTGCGTGTCTAACTGCTTTAGCTTATGCCTCGCTGGAAGGCCGAGTCGATCTCGTTAATTTTAGATGCGCTCAAGTGCGCAGACTGGACGGGCGAGGACTCGAGCAAAACTTTTCTCACGTTGACTTTCTCAAATAAAATTTAAAAAGCAGCACCGTTTTTCAAAAATGTCAAAAAGGAAGGGAGAGATGTGAAAGGAGTATAAGCCCCAACCGACCTATGCTTGGGGTCTCTTAGCTCAACCTTTGAAATTGTTGCAAACCTCCCACGCTCACTGCGATTTTAAAAGGGGGAGAGTCCCGCGCAGTGTATCTGCAGCCCCAATCAAAACATCAATTCGGCGATCTGGCCTCTCCCCCCACTGAACACCCGAGCGCCACTTCAAAGCCGCTGCAACAAGTCGGTAATTGTAACGTTGCATCTAAATATTTAAGCGACAATCTTGCAGTCGCGTGTCCATTTACAGTCTTCATCTGTCCTCTAATTCCATTACGGCACAGAGCAAAAATGTTTCCCAAAACTCCCAAACAGGAAAAGCGTCACCCTCCTGGAGGA